ATTTTATGTCATGTTCAAGAAATGATTACTTATAAGTATAATTTAGTTATGAATTTGTTGTTGTTATGTGCCAATGTCAGTTCTGAGTTGTAACAACCCCATATAGGGTTTCCATAAGTGGTTATTGTGTTTGGAGCACTGGCCTTGCATTTAGTAGTCCAGTGCTTATCCTATAGCACTACACCAGGTCTCTAGTAATGAATTAGAAGGCACTGTTGGATAAGCAATGGACAACATGGTTTTCTTGAATTGCAAGGTCAGCAGTTCAAACTTAACTATCTGCTTCTTGGAAACCTGTACAGGATCACAATGAGTTGGAAGCAACTCAGTGGCACTTAACAACAATTACCACTGCAATAAATAACCACTCATAAGAAGTTGATTTCATTATTTCAGAAGAGTGGACCCACATATGAACATTCCCTACATCTGTAGGGAAAAAAAATGAATGGGGTCAGAGAATTTACCCCCAGATCCTCAGTCCTGATTTTCATATCCTAAATTTTGGGAAGGATAGAAACATTGCTATGACATATGAACCACACAGTTCTGGAGTCCTGAGTCTTGATGTCAGGAGGATGTTTAGGTATGTTGCCTTGTAGAGACACAGTGCAGCCTTCTGGGAAACTCCTTCAGTGGGACAGGGAGACCCAGAGCTCTCAGCTCACAAGAAATTGTTTTAGTGCCTTGAGAATTTCTTTTAAAATTACTGTGTCGTCACAAGTTTTTCTCTTGCTTAAGGCATCCGTAGTCCCCTTTTGTGTATAAAGGTCTTTTAGCCAGAACACACACATGAAACAAACAAACAAAATGTGTGCAAGTCAAAAAATATTGCTACCAAATCCTACTAATCTTTCTTAAACAAAAATATCAAAATGTGAAGCTAATCTTTCCCAATATATCCTCAATCTATGTCCATAAACTTCTGAATGCAGCATTTCCATCTCTGTAACCCTTCCTTTCTATCCCTTTATGTGCTCTTTGATTTATACTATATCAAAACAGCAGTCTTGACATCCTGGAGGAACTCAAATCATGTTCCTTTGAATTTTTGGAATAAAAAGGACTCTGAAGGGACAAGATCAGGGCTTTAGGGGTGAATGAGGTAAGGTTTCTTAATGAAATTCTCATAAGACAGCATTTGCTACCCTCGAAGAATGAGCAGCTGTACAACTTTCCTGGCCTTTTCCTAACCAAAACAGTTTTCAGTTTTTAAAAAACTTCTTTATAATAAAGCCCCATGATCATCCTGTGTTCTTTGAGAGAATGTCAAGAATATTCCTTCAGTTTTTTTAAAGAAGTCACCATGACCTCCTAGAAGTCCTGATGTGTCCATGTAGAATAAACACTGGACTGCTAACCACAAAGTCTGTGGGTCAACCCACCAGCTGTCCTTTAGAAATCCTATAAAGGGTCGCTATGAGTCAGAACCGATTCAAAGGCATTTAACAACAGCAACAGAAATAGCCTTCTAAGCTGACCTCTCTTCCATGAGAAGTATGTACTAATCTGTGGACACTTTAGGATATTAAGTTATCTTTTTTCTTTAGGCAAATTTTAGGTTAATGGCAACTCAGTAAATCAGTGTGAAAATGACTAATGGCACTTTAAATGGTTGATACAGTCATTAATTATAATATTTTATTGCTGGATATATGTGTTAGTTTGGAAGAGTATGCATTACCACATTTTTCACCACTTCTTGAATAATAAAAATGTTTGTTTTCTCTATGCATTTTAGGCTGTAGCTACTAACTAAACTTGCCATGAAGTACTCGTTGATTCAACTGAGAAGGCAATGAAACAAAAGCACACACCTGAGGCTCTCTGCCTGGCGCCCTGCACTCTAGCAATGCCCTCCCTGTTGCGCTGCTCCACCTGCTGAGATTTTCTGCAATAATTTCTGCAGTAAAGCTGAGATTTGTTATTAAGATGCAGGTGGTTTTATAATGCATAACTATCAAGTAGAGGAGTTAATAGTTCATGACACTTAATCGCATTCATGGCTTTAATGATACTACGAACTATAACAAAATGAAATCTGACAGGTATATGAAAACATTCTCAAGTCATATAATGATACATTCACACTGCAACTCTGTCTTCTCGTGGCTATAAATGATATTTTACACCTTTTAGATTTAGGCTTTGACCAGCAGGGAGTGTGCATACTATACAAACTGGATTTTGATCATTAGGATTTGGCCTCTAGACAACTAAGGTTCCAGATTCCTTCATAAGTGGATGCCATCTGCAGCAGTTGAAGGATGGAGGCCACTGCTATAGCTTCCAAGTGTGAACCATGCTGGTCTGGCCACTATTCCCACCTCTCCCTTCATGATGGTCTGTGAGCTAGTGTTAATTTTCTATACTAAATGCAAGGCAGCTGTTTAAGCTGACCAACTGCTCTTTGGAACTCCTATACAGGGTCACTGTGAGTCAGAACTGACTCACTGGCACTTAACAACAACAAATGCAATATACACTATACATTTTGCTGTTTTAAATAGGAAATGGTGAATTTAGAGGAACATTAATTACAACAAACGTCAAGCTCTTATTCTTCTTTCTTATTACACAGGCTAGGATTTCCAGTACCATGCTGAATACGAGTGATGATAATGGGCATCCTTGTCTCATTTTTATTAACAAAAGTGCAGACTCTCATCTTTCTCCATTGAATATAATGTTGGTTATTGGTTTTGTCCATTATCCCTTCATTATGTTGCGAAATTTCCCTTAATTCCTATTTTCTTAGAGTTTTTTGTCTGGACAGGATGTTGAATTTTATCAAATGCCTTTATACATCAATTGATATGCTCATATGGTTCTTTTCCTTTTTAAAAAAAAAAATGTGTGATAGATTTTCTAATGTTGAACCATCATTGTAATCCTGGTATGAATCTCATTTGGTCATGGTTTATGGCTTTTTTTGATATATTGCTGAAGTCTGCTGGTTAGAATTTAGTTGAAATGTTTGCATCTATATTCATAAGGGATATTGATATATGGTTTTCTTTTGGTGTGATGTCCTTTCCTGCTTGAGATTATCAGGGTTATTCTGGCTTCACTGGAAGCGTTCAGTAGTGTTCCTTCCTCTTGCATGGTTTTGCAGTGATTGAATTGGATTTGTGTCAGCTCTTTTCTGAATGTTTTAAGAATTCTCCAGTATAGCCATCGAATCTGTTTTTTTTTTGTTGTTGTTAGTGATGGTGGCATGTTTTGATGATGTCTTCTGTTCTTTTACACTGGGTTTGTTTAGATTTTCTACCTTTGTTTGTGTCAGATAGTGTGTTTCTAGAAATTTATCATTTCATCCAGGTTTTCATATTTGTTGAAATGCAGTGTTCATAATACTCAGTTATGAACTTCTTTGTCTCTCTTGGATCAGTTGTAATGTTCCAATTTCATCAATACTAGTCCCTTTCAGTTTACTAATGCCTAAGATGAGCTAACGCCTAGAACCAGGTGCTATGTGTGGTCACCTACTGACAACCAGCAAGGAAATTGATGGTTTCTGTTTGAAATTGTCACGAAACTGGTTCCTGTGAGCAATTTAAATGAACGTGGATGCAGATTCTTCTGAGTCTCTTGATATGAACCTTGCTGGCCCCAAACTTTGATTTTACCTTGTGATACCCACAAGGCAAACCCACCCATGCTCCTACAAGTAATACATTTGTGTTCTTTTGAGCATCTTAGTTTGTGGTAATTTCTATGGCAGTAACAGAAAACTAGTACAATATTTATATAAAACTATGTGTATGTGTGTGTGTCTGTGCACATTATTTCTATGTGGTGGGATAATTATTAGCTTATTCTTTATACTTTTCTGTATTGTTTGAGTTCCTTACAATGAATTTTTATTTATTTATAATCAGGAAAATTTAATAAGTTCATTCAATTACATTTTTAAAATTTCCTAAACATAAAATCCATCATCCTTAATTTAAACAAATGATATGTCATCATCTCCATGGTTCATAGGTGGTTGTTTGGTTTACCTGAGGGGTTTTGCCGCCTATTTTGTTTTGGAGAAAGATAATAAACTTTACAGCCTCAGTCCTTAAGTTCTTTATCATTCTAGTTCTAAAGACATCAGCAGTCAGGCCTAAACTAGATGATATTCAGAGCCCTGACCCTTGATGCTCTGTGAATAACGTCACTCTTCTTTTCCTATCTTCTTAATAAAGTTTCCATTATACAGCAACTCAGTATTGCAACAAGCTATAAAGTATGCAGGAATTAATTAGCTTTTCTTGAGCAGTAGATTTACCTAAGACTTAGTGACTTATAACAACAGCTATTTATTCGGCTCACAGTGCTGTGCTTTCTGCTGGCCTCTTTGGTCACCTGGGAGTATGCTGGGAGCTGGATGATTTAAGTTTGGATCACTCACATGTCTGGTGGTTGAACAGCTGTCAGCTAGGTGAAGGGGTGATAGTAGCAGAGGGAGCGAAAATCAGCAAAAGAGCAAGCCCTGCTACCCAAGCCCCTTTCTAATCTTGGTTTGCATCCGTTTGTTTATTTCCCATTGGCCAAGGCAAATCATACTTCCTAGCCTAAATTCAAGAGGTAGAAAATAGGCTAAGCTTTATGGGAAGATATGTACTGTGACATTCTGAGAACGTGTGGGTATAGGCAGGGGAAAATGTATCCTGTTTATAGCCATTGCAAGCCATTTATATACTGGGTCTTGTATCAAATTAGTCTGTATCATTTGTAAAAAAAAAAAAGCCAGACCAACTCTCTGATAGAGACATGTGGTGAAAATGTACCTCTTACAAAGACATACGCTTTGGTAGCAGCCTCTTGGGTTTATTAATTTGTGCTTTCCAGTTACATTCGAAAACCTTGATGCACAAATAAAAAACTGCTTGACTGAGCTGAGATTTTCCTATTCCTGTTGCCATCCACCTTTGACCTGAACATATTAGCATTATGATGCACATTTTATTATGACTGAATATGCAAATAATGGTATGTCTGTCTTATCCTAGGTGCCTACCCAGCTATTGTGAACATGGGGGTGAATGTTCCCAGTCCTGGAACACCTTCTCTTGCAACTGTACCGAGACAGGTTACCTGGGAGCAACCTGCCATTCCTGTAAGCCCCACACCTTACTAGTAATCCTCATTTTTCTTCTGATTTCCATGTAGTTTATTTTGCTTTGTTTTTCACTAATTTTGTGTGTGTGTGTGTGTGTGTGCACATGCATGCCTATGTGGAACCATGTGCTAGAAAACAATTACACAAAAAAATCAACAGATACTTTAGCAACCAAATAAATCTTTATGGGTTTGTTTATGATTGAGTTTATTTCCTAATGATGTCAAGATAGTTCAGAGAAATACTTAAGGTCAATGAGGGCAGAAAAAATAGTAACTAATAGGCATAGGGGAAATAGTTGTTTTTGTTAAGTGCCATTGAGTTGATTCCAACCCAGAGTGCCCCTGTGGGATAGGAAAATAATATATACATAAGTAAAAATATAATATTTATAAAATTAAACAAGGAGAAGTTCAGAGAAAACACTAGATAGAGAAGTTACCTGGTAGACTATAGAAAAGGGGAACTAGGTGTCAGGGAGAAACTGGGTGAATTTCCAGGTCTCTTCCAGTCCTCGTATTCTTGAATGATGATGAAGGGCCTGCTACAGCTGCTGCTGATGTTCCTGATGATGCCAGTGCTGGTGCTAATCTTAATGGCAACATTTACTGGGAACTTGTAATATGCCTGCATTACTATAGCGTTCAACAAGCAAGGGTTATTATTATCTACATTTTACATTTGAGTGAGGAGAGATGTTCACTTATCCAGGCTAGTTTGTGACAGAGAGAAGCTGCCAGTCATACTCATTACCACCATGTGATCATGTGTTTTACATCTCAAATACCATGTTTCTTTTATGAAGAATTTGTCTTTATAACATTTAAAACTAGTAAAACTTCGTTGGTCACTAATTCATTAGATACCAAGAGCGTATGACAGAACTACTTAAATCCTCAGGGTTTAAAATTATTACATTTTTTTTTTTGCTTATGGTTTTGTTTTAGTTTTTTGTCATTTGTGTATCACTATTGGCATCTGAAGGAGCCCTGGTAGCGTAGTGGGTTATGAGTTGGGCTGCTAGCTGCAAGGTCAGAAGTTCAAATGTAACAGCCAGTCTGCAGGATAAAGATGAGGCTTTCAGTTCCTATAAAGACGTACTGGCTTGGAAACACTATACAGGGTCACTGTGCATTGACTCCACAGATTGGAACCAACTCCACAGGTAGGAACCAACTCCACCAGACACCACCACCACCACTGATGTGAGTCCTTTCTTCCTTGGCACCTTTCTCTTTTTCTGGGTCTTTGGAGAAAAATTAGTTTCTGCAGAATTAGAGCACCAAAATTTTGTAGATCGTCATTTTGGTGTTACCCCTGGTGACAGTGTCCCCTTTGTGGTCCATACCCCTCAAGTGATACCACTATTTACAAGAGGCCAGTGCCTAACAGTAATGCCTGGTCACAATTATCAGTCTTAATAGTAACTGGGATCTAAATAGAATTCTAAACAATTCTGTAACAAAATTATAAAGGTAAGTATACAGTCTCTAAATTGTGGCCCACCTATTGATCTAATCATCTAATTAACTTTATTGTGATTTCCCTAAAGGGTGAGACAAATGAAGATGAAATATTGCCATGTCTACAGATCATGAGACCATTGCTTCTTGCTGGGGTCTAGGGCAGGGATTGGGGTTTTAATTATACAATAAAAACAACGAATGCGTGTGTACATTTATGTTTAAAGTAGAATTCCTTTAATCAGACTTCTTCAATTCTTGTTCTCTAGGCAATTCCATCTTTAACCTAAATATAACTGCTCTTACCAATTTGTGTGCATCCCTCTGGATTTTTCTAGGCAGTTATAAGTATGTTCATGCTTTTTATAGAAATGGTAATATGGGTGGCAAAATGTAAACCTGGTGTGAAAACAATCCTTGTTGTCTTGTATTTCCATAGTAACAGAAGCACTGTTATTTTGAGGCAGTTAGCCATGGAAAATTTTTGACACATGACACTTACTCCTCAGAAACCCTATACAGGGTTGCTATGAGTCAGAACTGACTCAATGGCACTTAACAAGAACAAGTTTTTGTAAATACCCTTGGGCAAATAAAGTCTTATTGTGAGGTGAGAGAAAAACAATTCCTATATACCTCCTTGAATCTTCCCTCAATTTTGGAAAAAAATTTTTGTTTGAGTATTTAGGAAAAACTAAATAATGTAAGTAATCCAGTCAGTGTATTCTGGCATAAATACATACCCTTTTAAGTCTCTACTATGATCCATGTGCTTTATGTGTCTTAACCTAATTCAGTGCCTGAGCCTATGTGTGAGTAGTCTTGTGTGACGATTGTTGTTGTTGTAAGTGCTGTCGAGTCGGTTCCAATCCATAGCGACCCTGCAAAGGATTTCTGAGGCTGTAAATCTTTATGGGAGCAGAAAGCCTCATCTTTCTCCCACGGAACTGCTGGTAGTTTTGAACTGCTGGTAGTTTTGAACTGCTGACCTTGAGGTTAGCAGTCCGATTCATAACCACTATGCTACTGGAGCTCCTGTCTGATGATTAGGGATGTTTTATGATCAGAGCTGATACTAGGATAAAACCAGACTGCGATTCTTACCTGGCAGCCATTTTAGGTTCTTCTGTCAAGGTAACTTGTGACCCAGAAGGGGTAATGTTAACTGGTTGATTATTATTGTACAATTATTTTGATTGTTGATAAAGTCCATTTTCTGCAGATGTTAACCACTTGTTTTGAGCATAACAAAGCATTTATTGTACAAATGCTGTTGTTGTTAAGTACAATCAAGTCAGTTCCAACTCATAGCAATGCTATATAGGGTTTTCATGGAGCAGCTGGTAGGTTTGAACTGCCAACCTTGTGGTTCGCAGTCCAGTGCTGATCCTACAGCGCCACACCAGGAGTCCAAATAAAACATTCAATTGTGAATTTAAAAAGGCATATCATATAAATGTCAATGTATAATATGTATGCTACATATCATATCTGGAGTCCTGATGTGGTACTGTAAGATAAACACTCAACATCCAGGTCAGTTTGAACTTCAAGGCCTGTGATTCAAACTCACCAGCCACTCCTGGAAACCCTATACAGAGTCGCTATGAGTCAGAACCAACTCGATGGTACGCAACAACAACAGATAACATCTACTTTATAGCTGTTAATAACTTCCACCATGTTTGGCCCCAAATCATGGTGACTTTATGCTCAATAGCACAAACTGCAGCCCAGAGTGTGTATGTGTATTTACACACATTTCAGATAATGCAAGAAAATTCAAGGGTGATAATTGTCATTTGCAAAGCATTTGAGGAAGTTTCTTGGTAAATTAAACGTTAAAGAAATTGAATGAAAAAATGTTGCTGATTTGTAAATCAGCATTTGGAAAAGATTTTTCCCTTGTAAATTATTTTAAGTAAGCAAAGAATACAATTGCTGAGTAATTTAAAAATATCTGCAGCATAATTATTAAAAAACAGATCATTTAGGGAAGTTAAGGTACTTCAGATACTCAGACATTATGTGGCAAATTAGAATACTACTAGAGTTAATTCAGGAGCCCAGGTGTGGCGCTGTGGGTTAAAGCACTGGACTGAAAGGTTGATTTGAACCACAAGGTTGGTGGTTGAAACTCACCAGCTACTACTTGGAAACCACCCTATACAGGGTCTCTGTGAATCTGAACTGACTCAAGGACTTAACAACAACAAGAAGAGTTTATTCAGTTAACCACGCTTATGAAAAAATCTGTGTTTCTAAAGGAGGTAGGATGTGTGTCCACATTTTTCCTGTGGCCTCTTAAGGTCTCTCCCTGTCTGCTTCTGAATCCTCCTGACACACTAGGGAAAACGTACTTAAAGACAGCGCAGACTGAATGCACTAGGGAAAGTACCCCATGGCAACACGGATGGACTCATAACACTGCATTGCCTCATTGATAATTAATGCTCTTTGCAGCCCTCTACGAGCAGTCCTGTGAAGCCTACAAGCACAGAGGGAACTCTTCAGGACTCTACTATATTGACTCAGATGGAAGTGGCCCGTTGGGACCGTCTCTGGTATACTGCAACATGACAGGTATCTGTATATCGTAGTGACATTCATATAAATGCTTATTATACACAAAAGCACAATGGCAGTTTTCTCTAGATATATACTATGATTGTAATGTGACTGCTGTTCTTGTTAAGTGCCATCAAGTTGGTTCTGACTCATAGTGACCCTGTATAAGGTTCTCAAGGAGCGGCTGTTGAGTTTGAACTGCTAACCATGTGGTTAGCATTCCAGTGCTTATCCTACAGCACCATATCAGGAGTAAGAAGTACTATACATAACATTCAAAATTAGTTAAAAGATGATAATTAAATGTTATTTAATTATTTAGTATGGATTTGGTGTCTTTAGTTACTGGGAATGTATATAATATCTTTTTGAAACAACTGATAATGAACTTTTGCTTATTCATCTAAAATAAAAAATAGACTTTATTTCTTAAGAGTTCACATCAGTACAGGGGTGCTTCAAAAAATTTGTGGAAAATGGAATAAAAGGATAATGGAATTTTTCCATGAATTGTTTGAAGCCCCTTGCATATGTGAAAATCTTAGAATATTCAGTTTTTAAATTTTAGAAATGTTCCATTCATATTCTTTTGAATGTTTAATCACATGGATTTATCCAAAAAATGATATTTCTAAACTTAATACACTTCATGTATTAAATATATTTATGTGCAATTATGTATAATCTTTTTTTCTAGAAAGCCCATTTTAAAATAATCATGTGTGTTGTGTATAGCAATGTGTATATATATATATATGGAGCTGTGGTAGTTAGTGTAGTGGTTATGAATCGGGCTGCGAATCTCACAGTCAGCAGTTCGAAACTACCAGCTGTTCCACGGGAGAAAGATAAGGCTTTCTGCTCCCGTAAAGATTTACAGCCTCGGAAACCCTGTACAGGGTCGCTATGAGTCAGAACCGACTCCATGGCACATAACAACAACAACATATATATATATGTTTGAACTACAAGGTCGGTGGTTCCAGCTCATCAGCTGCTTCTTATATATACATGAGAAAGAATATGGCATGCATGTCTTTGTCTTTGAACCTTTTGTTCAACATATTTACTCCTACAAGTATGTTGTTGTTAAGTGCCGTAGAGTCAGTTCTGACCCAAAGTGACCCTGCATAGTGTTTCTGAGGAGTGGCTGGTGAGCTTGAACTGCCAACCTTATGGTTCAAACCAACTTTGCAATACTGCACATTAACCCACAGCACTACACCAAGACTCCTCTGTAAGTATAGCAGCTTGTTATTGTTGTTGTTAAGTGCCATTGAGTTGGTTCCAACTCATAGCCGCCCTTAGAATTTCTGAGGAGTAGCTAATCTTGTGTTTCTCAGTCCATTGCTAATCTACAGCGCCACCCCAGGAGTCTGCAGTTTAAAGGGAAGCAGATACCTACTGGAATGAATGACAACTCCCCTGATATAATTGTTGTTGTTGGTAGGTGCCGTTGACTTTGTGATTAGCAGTTCAGTGCTTTTCCTATAGCGCCACAATTAGGTCCCTGGTTATATGAGTCAGAATCAATTCAACATTACTGGGTTTGTGTTTGGGTGGTGCAAATGGTTTGCACTAGACTGCTAACCGCAAGGTCAGCAGTTCAAATCCACCAGCCACTCTTTGGAAACTCTAGGCAGGGTTGCTATGAGTTGGAACTGACTTGAAGGCACTTAACAACAACTATAAAGGCTGGCAGTTCAAACCCAACCAGTGAGGCCTGGTGATCTGCCTTCATCAAGATTGTTGTGGTTGTTATTAAGTGCTGTTGAGTTGGTACCAACTCACAGTGATCCTATATAGGGTTTTCAAGAAGGGGCTGGTGAGTTTGAACCACCAACCTTGTGATTCAAATCAACCTTGTGATCCAGTGCTTATCCAACAGCGTGACGCCAGGACTCCTTTCATAAAAATTACAGCCAAGAAAACCTTGTGAAACAGTTTGATTCTGTAAAAAGGATCGCCATGAGATGGAAGTGACTCAATGGCAAAGGGTTCTGATATAATTGATAGAAATGATTTTACATCCATAGTTCTTTTTCGATACATCTGTATCTATGTGTGTGTATCCATACCAATATAACCTTTTCTCCATACTAATGTAACATTTAGCCAGCAGAAAGGGAATAACCCTTCTTTTATGAAATGGTTTCTATGTACCACTGTTGGTATGTTGTTGTTGTTAACTGCTGGCGAGTCGATTCCAACCCTTAGTGACCCTATATAGTGTTTCCAAGGAGCGACTGGTGAGCTTGAACTGCTAATCTTGTGATTCAAGCGACTTTGCAGTCGATAAGATAATGAACTTTTGAAAATGAATTGTTGGTATGTTGTTGTTGTTGTTAAGTGCCGTCAAGTCGGTTCCGACCCATAGCGACCCTGTACAGGGTTTCCGAGGGTGTAAATCTTTACGGGAGTAGAAAGCCTCATCTTTCTCCCGCGGAGCGGCTGGTAGTTTCGAACCGCTGACCTAGATATATAGATATTTAACAACTGCAGAATTTGTTCAGAAAAAATCGACTATAGATGGTATTGAAATAATTATAACTTTATAATTTGTTTTGCTAATTATTACAGCTGTTTTGTCACTCTGATATAAATGTAATTTCCATAAGGAGATAATAATTTATGGGCAAATGTATACTGTTGGTTTTTGAGTAGCTTAAATATGCTCTTGCTGTTTTTATACCTATTACTACAACCTTCAGTATGTATGACAGCACAATGTAAAGAAACCAAGCGTTCTTAAAACTTAACCAATAAATGGGCTTCATGATAAATGGAGAAAAGATTGAAATTGTCAAGGATCTCATTTTTTTTCAATGCACAATCAATGGTCAAGGAAGCAGCAATCAGGAAATCAAACAACATATTGCATTCAGCAGACCTTTGCTCTTTAAGCTATTTAAGAGCAAAGATACCACTTGGAGAGGACTAAGGTGCACCTGACCCAAGCCATGATATTTTCAGTTTCCTCATATGAATGTGAAAGTTGGACAAGGAATAAGGAAGACTAGAGTAGAACAAATATATTTGAATTATGGTATTGGAGAAGAATATTGAAAGTGCCATGGGCTACCAGAAGAACAAATAAATCTATCTTGGAAGATGTACAGCTAGAATGCGCCTTAGAAGTAAAGATGACAAGACTTCATCTCACATACTTTGGACATGTTATCAGGAGAGACCAGTCCCTAGAAAAGGACATCACGCTTGGTAAATTAGAGGGTCAACAGAAAGAGAAAGACCCTCATTGAAATGGATTGACACAGTGGCTGCAGCAATGGGCGTAGACATAAAATACTTATGAAGATGGTGCAGGGTAGGCATTGCTTCGTTTTGTTGTACACAGGGCCCCTATGAGTTGGAACTGATTTGATGGCACCTAACAACAATAGCTACTATATATGTAAAACCACACCTGAGCATTTCTGCAGTAATCATATGATTTAGTCATAATTAAACACATCTTCCAGCCTGAAAACTAGCAAAGAGAAAACCTAAGAATTCTGAACCCTTCAAGTTACTTTATTTTTACTTTGTTTTTTTCTTTGATTACCATGAGTCAGTGATGCCAAGACACTGATATCCCAAAATGAACTTCCCTTTTATCAACTAGGTGCTTAAATATCACAAAAGTTCAGGCATTACTCAAGATTTTCATAATTTTGTCTTGGTTTAATCCTGGGATCACATACCACACAGACCAGAAATTCTCCTGATCGCAGCTGATGTATTCCTTGATGAGTAAGAATTCAGTTTTTGAAGTGTTTTGTTGATAATGAACTACTGAAAAGGTTTTGAAGTTTAAGTTTATAAACATGTTTGCTGCCAATAGGAGTGGGTGACAGCTGATTGCTTGCAGTTTATGGCTGTAACTAAAGAAATGTGTTTTAGTCATCACAAGTGAACTCAGAGTGAACTTGTGGCCTGAACTTCACCATTGGCTCCTCATGTTTGTAAAGCTCCTTTGGGATGTAAAATTATTGCATCAGTTTTCTAGGACAGCCACAACAAAGATAACTAAACTGGGTGGCTGAAAATAGCAGACATTTATTATCTCACAAATCAAAAAACTTAAAGTCCTAATTCAAAGTCCCTTCCTGTCTCTTCCAGCTCCTGGTAGCTCTAAGTGTTCCTGGGCTTGTAGGAACATCCCCACTCAGATTGGACTAGAATGATGCTCCTTACTCTTGATAACTGACAACATCTTCAAAGACTCTTTCAGGACAGGGTCATGTTCACAAATACCAGAAGTTAGACTTCAGTGTATCTTTTTGAAGAGCACAATTCAATCCATAACAACTTGTTCAAAGGCATTTTGTTTTCATGCTTAACCATGTTTTGTTATTATTAGCTGCTGTGAGGTCAGTTCTGATTCCTGGTGACCTGATACAGAACATTGCCCAATTCTGGGTCAGCTTCATGATCACTGACAAGCTCCAGCCCATCTTTGCAATTACTGTGCCAATCTATCTCACCTTGGTCTCACCTGCCTCACTGGCATGATAAATGACATGTCCAAAACAAAGGAGTCAGACATGTTCTATTGTGATCTACAGGGTTTTCATGGACTGGTTCTCCCAAATAGATCTCTAGGCCTCTCGTCACAATTTGTCTTTGTTTGTAAGCTCTGCTGGAATCTGTCCACCATAGATGACTCTGTTGGTATTTGAAAAAACAGTAACATAGCTTTCAGTATCACAGCAACCTGCAAGTCACCACAGCATTACAAGCTGCTTGCTAAGAGTTGGCTTAATCATACAGAGGAATTTTAATTTGATACAGTAACTAATGTATTTTTATTTGTTATTACTGTTGTCCACTGCCCCTCTCCTTTCCAGGGTAGAGGTGCCCTGGTAGTGCATCATTTAAGCACTTGGCGTGAACCAAAAAGTTGTTCTCATTCTAGAAGTCATACAGATGATATGAATGAACCATTTCCTTCCCAACTAACAAGAAGAAATGTCCAAGTAAAGGCAGAATGCTGAAGAGTTGTAATAAATCAGCTA